AAAATCACACAGATAAAGGGCTGAGTGGGAGCTTGTTAGCCATCAAAGCCATAAAAGTATTGGGACAGAGGGAAATAAAGAAAGTCAAAACTCCCCTAGCCCATAGCACGAGGTCACTGAGAAGTGTCAGCAGAAACATTAGAAGTTTCTGAGACCCTTCCATGCTGGGCAACGTCCTTCCTTAGCTGAATAGATAGGTAGGACTGTTTACACAAGATCCTAATCCATCTTCAAGCAGGAGGAAAGTAAAAGCCACAGTGCAACTGCTTGCTGCTGCATTGGACAGCTCCATGTGATGTGCAGCTTCTGCAGGGATGCAATTTAACAAGGGAGAGACTCATCACAGCCAAGTAGTGAGGTCAAGAGTCAGACAGCCACAGGAAATCGTCATGGGCATAATTTCATGCAATTTCTGATCCCTTGCCTCACACGGGTGTGTTCTATTCCCGAGTCAGTGCACTCCCTCTGGTGGCTGATTTACCGTCTCTGCTCCACTCCGCTTTGGAGTTGAGGTTTCATGCGAGCAGATGGCTAAAGGAACTGAGAGAGCAATAATACTGCTTTTATTAGGCTACTTTAACGTTTTATGTCCTCGGCACCGAGGGCACAGATAAAGTCCGTCCATTCAAATGTATTTTAAAATAATCCCCATTCGCAGAAAAAGGTGAAGCTAAAAATATTCTGTTCAGAACGGCTATTTCTGGAAAGCGCCTAAAACATTATCTTTTTATCAGGTCAATGATCTCTTTGCCTCAATGATCTGCTGTTTTAAGACCCATGTTGGTCATTCAAAAAAGGTAAATCAGTGATGTGTCAAAGACCTTTTTAGTAATTTCCTCTAATTTCCTTTTAGGATCTGCTCCAGCTCACATTGCCAGCTTTTCTGGATAGAAAACACCTTTTTCTTCTCATAGCATGGCAGTCAGGACAATAGAGGCTATTGCAGCTTGTAAAGCCACAGGGAGAAACTCTGTGCTGGAAATCCTCAAAAGAGAAAGAAATATCCACTCTGAAAGGATAAACCTCTTTTGGATGTGTTTTTATGTCATCTGTTCATGCAGGTGATTGATTTGCCTACACATTTTTAGAGAATGCTTATTGTTAAGCAAAGCCACTGATAAAGAGGCATTCAGTAATTAAACAGAGTTCTGAGGCTGGGAAACATCAGTAGGAACAGTATTTACTTAATTAGCTGTCATGCTGTGTTTCAGAGGAGAGAAACACAAGCAGATGCTGCTGTGGACTTGCTTGCCTGTAGGTTGAGGCACTCCAGCGCCTGGTGACCTTCCTGCCTTAAGGAAAAGAGCTGCTCCCACACATCCAGCAGCTGGATTTAGGGGCTGGCCTGGCCACATGAACACTGCAGAGAAAGGGCTCAGAACTGTCTTTGAAGCAAGTTTATTGAGGGCAAGAGAGAGAGAGGTGGGGTGGCTCATTTTAGTTCCCACTGTAACCTCATCCATCCAGGTGACAGCATGGCCCGGGACAGGCACTGCTGCTTGGTCAGAGCATGGAGTCTGCAGATCCCCTTGGTTCCTCTGGCTCAGAGTTTGCAAAATTCAGCCAGAGCTGATTTTAGAGGCCAGTGCTGATTTTAGAGGCCAGTCCTATCAACCAGACTCCCCAACTACCATCTTAAAAAAGATCCCCTGTTGACTACATAACCTTGAATTAACTGCTTGTCTCAGACATCGTCTAATTTCATAATCTGTAACATCATCATTGAATATCTGTCATAATTCACTTAATTGCATCTCTGTTGCTACAGTGCTTCAATTTGGGGAAATTTCTGTTTTCTTACTCAGGAAAACAGTTTACACTCTCAAGACCAATTTGCCAGCTGGAGCATAGTTCTTCTGCAAATGGATGCAAAGATAAGGCTCTCATAAATATCTGAAAGCACCATCATCTCTGCATTTACACATTCAACAGCATGAATCTCAGTGGCAGTGCATGCTTGCTCCTAGCACTGATGTTCTGATGGTGGCCCCCTGCAACAGGTCCTGTGGGGTTTCAGACATGGTCATAGCTCCAACCTGGCACTCAGGAGTGACTTGGGAGTGCAAATTCCACAGAAAGATACCAGGAAGGGGTTTTTTTCCCCCCTTCTTTTACAAGAATTTTCTTCCCAAGAGGGAAGAATATTACTGTGCTCCTGAGCTGGGAGTGAGAGGATCACCAGCTGATTCATCATTGCAGGGGACTGTGCTGATGTGGCTGCGTGACATTTGACATTCATGTGCAAAATTAGGACAGAGTTTCCCAGCTGAAAACATTAATAGACACCAGAATCTATTCCTCAAGAGCTTGGATGGTATCTTTAAAACAACTCAGAGATCCTTCTGAGTGTTCGTGTATCCTCAGGGAGTTTTAGTGTGGTCCTGATAGTGCTTGTTCCAATATGAATGAAGTGTCAGTTGTATTTAGCATACTAGCCTGATTTTATTGAATGTAATGATACTTGCATATTTCCATCAAAATCTTATCTCTGCAGTATTACAAGAGAAGCTTGCAGTCTGGATAAGGGATTTATATTATTTAATAATTGTCATCTCATTCTTAACTGATGTAAGTGAAAGTGGAGCAGTGTGTACTGTACTGATAAAATAGTCTCACCAGACCAGACAAAAATGGAAAAGAGGCAACCTCCCTCCAATATTTGTTCATTATGCTCATGATTTTCTACTGAGCCTGACCTGATGTTTTAAAATATCTCTATTTTACTAGCTGTATTAAAATCAAACAGACTTACTATAGTTTTGGTTTCCACTAATTAATTGGAAAAATCCCTTATAATTGTTGTGATATTTTTTGATCTCCTGACTTTTGTATATAGAAGAATTATTGCTATCATTTGAAACAACTTTCATGGTTTGATTTATGAATCCCAAAGTTAATCAAATTGTGATGTCTTCATATCAGTGAAAATTGTTTTGACATTCAGAGAATGTTACCACTTTTTCAACCATGTCATAAATATTACTATCCGTTTCATCAGTATAACATGACCATTTATACTGATGTATGAAGAGATATAGCTTAAATTCCTTTTTATCCAAATACTCCTGTACCCTTTATATGCCTGAAACTTCACATTTGGTATTTTGGAGATTTTCTCAGCCTGCTTTTAGTCTATGACTAGCAGGAGTTAAGGACTTTGTATTGAAAAGGCAAAACCCCAAAAGCCTCAAATGATTTGTCTTCCTGGCATTTGTTTAAATCCTGACGTGTGTCGTTATTCCAACTTTCAGTGGGCCACAGCCAAAATTTAACTAAATAGGAATTTCTTTGATCATAGGATGCAATTCTGCAGTTTTCATCCCATTGAGGATGAAGGTGACTGAAGGTTTTACTTACTTCAGAAGACCTTGTAGGCTTAAGATCTTTCAAAGGAAAGGGAAGACAGAGAGGTGAGGAAAAAGTCGGTCAGTAGGGTTTCAGAAATTCTTTTTTCCTGGCAGTCACTGTCTTGCTCATGAAACTTAGAAAAATGGACTCTGTTTTACACATACAACTAAAAGAATACTCTTTGTTAGAAAAAAATTATCACGACTTTTCCTTACTTTTTTCCTAAGTGAATCTAAATTCTCATCTTGAGTAAGCTTAAATTAATGGGGGGAAAATAACAAATATTTGGTACAACTGGGGTAAGTCTTAAGTTTAAGAATTATTGTAATTATTTTAAAAAATTTAATTGGTTCCCTTAAGAAACATCTATATTATGAGGCTTGTTTTAAAAGTGAGAATGGTAGAAACTTTTTGTCACACAATTCAGGGAAAACATGTTGTCTTTTGTCTCATTACATTTGTTAATGTTTTTTGATTATGAAAGACAAGAAAAAAAACCCCAACCATTTAAAAAACTATGCCAAACATGATAACAGCAGCTTTTAACAAGATTAAGAAATCCTTCCAAGCAGTGAGAAGGATTAAATATGAGTCAGGTTCAACAGAATCACCCATGGCTCCCTCCCTTATTTAAAATGCACATGATTTATAAGCTCTGTATGTCTGAAACAGCTATTTACAGTTTAAAGAAAAACAAACCAACAGAACGCTCAAAAAACCAAATAAAATTTTTAAAAACACCACAAAAAAAAACCTTTATGTCAAAATGCTCATTTCAGGTGTCTTGTAGAGAAGCTCTGGCTCCAGGCAATGGCCTGGTGCAGCTTGACTCAGTGACAGCAAAGAGTTCACAGGGCCCCTTCCTCAAGGATTAATATTTGTAGGGAGATAATTTAGCTCAGTCAAAGAGTAAAAAATTTGAATAGGGACTCAAAGACAAGATTCAATATCCAAGCCTTCTGATGATATTCTTGAGGCCGTTTTCCTCCTGTTGTGCCACAAATAGTCATCTGGCAATATTTCTAGGATTTCTGTTCTAGATGATGAAATTAGTTTACCAGTCCACAGGGACAATTTGGATTGTGGAGTTTTCTTCTGTTTGGATTCCGATAAAGGTGCCAAAGGAAAAAAGGAGATGAATCAGCAACTGCATGAAAAATAATCACAGCTGTGAGAAGAAAGGCATTATTTAGCTCTGGCTTCAGGTCTGTAGAGCTCTTACCCCATGAAGTAGACTATATAAAATACTACCACCCTACTTTTGCCTAAGAGAAATACAAAAGCAGGGGTCCTTGGATCCATGAATGGGAGCATAAATAGTGCCATAAATAGAGTGCTTCTCCTTTAGGGACAAAAAAAAGGGTCTGAGCTGTAGAAAGTAAAAATGCTTTGTGGTCCCTTGGTCTCACCAAGCAAGACATGAAAAATAGTGTAGCTGAGAAGGAAGAACCTTTCCCCAGCATGTTGAAAGAGCCTGGTTAGTACAGCTGGTTAGTACAGCTGGGCCCCCTCATTTCAACACCACTTAAAATACAAAATACTCGTGTCATGAAAAATCAGCATTTCCCATCTCTATCCCCACTCCAACGCCATGAGGAATGTGGGGTCACGAAGTGAAACTTGCAGAGAAGTCATCATCCCCTAAGAGCCACATGGTTTGTCCCAGCTTTTGGGGCGGATCTTCCATCCAGGGAGCTGGCCTGGGAGGTCTCAGCGTTCCTCCTTTTCCGATAAAGGGACGGGCACAGATGTGAGGGCAGAGATGTCTCCAGCCCTCTCCTGCCTGCTGCTGCTGTTCCTGGAGGGCTGCCTGGCATGCCAGCACCCTGCCTGCCACTGCCTGGGCAGGGTCTTCATCTGCCAGGAGAGCCAGGTGGTGCAGGTTCCCCGGGACATCCCTGCCAATGCCACCGAGCTGTAAGTAGGGAGAGAGGGAGCGGCTGGGAGCAGCAGCCTTGTGGTTGGGAGCAGCAGCCTTGAGGTTGGGAGCAGCATCTTTGTGGCTGGGAGCCTGGCTCTCCAAAGGAGCTGCTGCCTGGCCAGCCAAAGGTCAGGTTTGAAGGAGTCACTTGGGAGACTCCAATCCTGCTGTTTGCAGAGCACAGCCCTTCCTCTGATGCTCGCTCGATTACACCTTGAAACTCCTCTCCATTTCTCTGATTGTGCTCATTGTGAGGTCTCTGTTAAGGAAGGATTTTGCACGTTATAATACCAAGTGCAGGGTAAATTTGAGACAAGCATCTTTGGTGCTGTGACAGTAATTTGAAGCATAAAGTCTAAGCTTTCTTTACAGCTTTGCTTTTAGCGCTGTCGGAACGTGCCGAGAAACTTGTCTGCCCCAAACAAGTCGATGATGAGTGTTTGTTTGTACTGCAGGAGCTTCCCAAAGGTTTGTGTTGTTTGCCAAGAAGGAACTTAATGTTTTCCCTTTGAAATCTCAAAGGCATTGCAGAAAGGACTCTGATAAACATTCAGAGAGGGATCCTCCTCCGCCACAGGAGCGGCATGGCTGTGCTTGGAGAGAGTGAACAATGTGAAGATAGAGAGGGGGTTTTGTCTATCTTAAAGCTTCTCATTATTTTTCATAAAAATAACGTGAGCAATACAAAAATAACGTGTGGCAGCTGTTTTCTGTGTCAGTAGCACAGGCAAGCAAAGGAGCTTGCGCAATGGCAAATATCTAACTGCAAGTGATTGTTTTCATTTTAATAGTTTGAAGGCAAATATCACCCTGTGCCAACACCCCCACACACATCTGGCATTGTTACAACCTAAAGCAAAACCAAAAGGAGTAGTCCTGGATAAAGCCTTTGGTAAATAAGTGGAATGGCAAGCTTGAAGGGAGGATACAATGAGGAATGATGTGTCACTAGTAAGAAAAATACACCCCCATCCCAATTTTACACACCACAGTACATCCATGGTTATTATGCCACAGTTTTCTTAGGGTAGAAGTTTTGTTTTCTTCAGAAGGAGGGGTTGTTATGCTCACTGACTAAGCAGACTGCAGTGAAAACTTGGGAGAAATGTCTGAATTAACCACAAAAGGTCAGTAAAAGTTTAAATCATTCTCACAACCAGAGGAAAAACTAATCCATCTGTGATTTAGGTCATCTAAATCTTGAGTGCACTGTGCTCCAAGCATGTACAGCTAATTTTGTTTAATTTTGCTTTGATTGTTTCTCTAGATTACACAGTTAAGGTCTGCCTTCTAGGGATTAAGCAAAAGCATTTTTTTAATTATTTCTGCAAAGAAGTCGAGTATTGCTGAAAAGCACCTGTTAGTAAAAAGGGATTTGTTTTTCTCCTTGTTAACTTCTCGAGGGTTTGTTGAGGATGCTAATTTGTGGGTTCTTAGCACGAGTGCTATTCTCTGAAACAGGCAGAATACAACACTAGTGTGACTGAAAACAGCAAATAAATCCTTTCTTCTGCCAGTGCTGTGCAAATACTGGATTTAGAATCTCTCAACTTAACTCTCTTCTCACTTTCTCAAAATAAACCAGCTTTTGGTTTCTCAGGAAGTAATTCAGGTCCCATTCCATCAGTATAGCCCTGGGACTGATTTCAGCATGCCTTAAAAATTTGAAAGCTGCCTAGAGTAGCTTTGAATATATCAAACCTTAGCATTACCAAAGGCAGATACATTAGCTGAAGAGCTATCAAGTGACAAATAAAGCTCAGATTTTTCCTTCAGGATCAAAGGGGAACTCTAGAAAAGTGCTTTCCTCTGCATCTCTCCACTGAGTGCCCAGTGGGGTGATTCAGGTGAGTAAAATAAGTTTTACTGCTCCAGATGACACTGCAGGTACACTCCTGCTAGCAGGAAAATCTGGCTTTATGTTTTCTCAAAAAGTCTTAATGGGTGAAAAGAATTTTTTGATCAGTGTACCAACTTTAGCACAGAAGTCCATGGTGTCTAAGAACTCTGTACAGGACACAAGCAGAAACTTCTTGTTACATACAGATCATACAAGGTACTTTTTTCACCTAAGAGCTCAATTCTGGGAGTCTGGATGCAGTCTGTTTTTATTTATATAAAGGAGAGGAATTCATTCAGTACACTTACAGCTCTTCACCTTCCCTTATGTGATTGTGATAGCTTTCCTAAGTTATCTTAGAGTCCTTCCCTAGTGCCTTTAACATGTTGAATAGCATGCTGGTGAATGCTTTAGAGTGAGAGCAGGAGCCTGATCAGCCTCAAGCACTTCTCCCTTTGCTGTGTGCTTCTATTTCACTACAGCTATGTCTGAAGTTGGGACCCTGGCATGTAGCAACCAGATTAGACACTTGGTAGGAAAACTCATGATAAAGGTAAAAATAGTGCCCTCCCTAGAGCATGTGCTGCCATGAGGGGTTTCTTTGTGGTTGGCTTCCCAACAGAGAGAGCTTGGGCTGCAAGGGAAACTTGAGCTCTGCAGTGTGGTGCATGAGACAGGGGTTTGCTCCCGGCTGGATTTAGCAAGGGTGCTGCAGAGGACAGGCTGGCAGCCTCTTAGGGTGAGTGATTTCAATTTGTACTCACCTCACGGAAACAGAGCAGGGATCAGAATCCACATGATTCCATCACTCTCATTTCTGCCACTTCTACTTTTTCACTTACAGTCCAAAATCTCATGATAGGATAATTACAGCTTGGTTTGTCCATTGCTTTTTGCAGATTTCCAAGTGTTCTGCAGGTGCCATGTTCTGAGTGTTTACAGGGGAGGCTGTGGTTATTAGCTGCTTTGCTTTATAATCTTTGCCTGGAAAGAAGAATTTTTGGTATTTTTTATACATACCATAATGCCTGAGAGATGGCTCTGACTTACAAATTTGGAGTCAATCTATCAGAAACCAGAGTCCAGCAGTTCAGATGGGAAATGTAGGCTCACCTGGATCAAGTATTAACAATTATTTGCCTCTAGGGAAGAGAGGAGGGAGTGACTCAGTAGCAATTGCAGGCAGTTTGCTGCTCGAAGATTTATTCCAGCCTTAAAATCCAGTGTCAAGTTTTGATATCCACCATCACTATTCAGTAGGATTTCATTTATTCATTAGAGGCCTTGCTTTGTAATGCAAACAAAAATAACATTCTCAGAAGGGATCCTTCTGAAGATTTAACAAACTAAGTAGAAACGTTTGGATAACACCAAGTAACAGGAAAACAGGAAATGCTCTCAATCTATGCCGAGGGCTCATTGGGTTCAATATTAGGAAAAATTTCTTCCCTGAAAGGGTCATCAGGCGTTGGAATGGGCTGCCCAGGGAAGTGGTGGAATCACTGTGGATGTGGCACTTGCGGACACGGCTGAGTGGTGAACAAGGTGGTGCTGGCTTCGCGGTTGGACTCAATTATCTGGGAGTTCTTTTGCAGCCATAATGATTCCATGATTCTAGGAGGCAGTTTAGCCATTGTCAGAGCAGTTTAGAGCTATGTTATATAGAGTGTTTTCTCCCGAGCATCTGCAAACTATAAACAGCAGGGTTTTTTACTTGCTCGCTGCATAGGTGTTTTTTTTTACAATTGCTCAAGGATATTTACTTTAGACTATCAAGTCAAGGCTGAGTAGATGTCTGAGCACTAAAACATCAGCTGCCTAGAAATAGCAAGTCCTGTGCTGTGTACTGAGTGAGTCAGATGTGCTTCCCAGCGACAGAAGCTGCAAATTATGTGAATTGTAGCTGCAACACTGTTACTGACAGCTGCAATTAGGATGTTTCTTTATTCTTTCACACTTCGAGTTGAAATTACACTGAAACCTGCAAACAGCTACACTTCTTGCTTGGGTGTTTATACTGATGGACTGACCTGAACCTGAGAAAGGCAAGGTGTGAGAGGATGAAGTAAACTAAGGAAATTAAGATCCATGAAGCTTTGAACTCTCTGTATTGTGGTGATTCATCTTACAGTCAGTCAATAATCCCACTCTCATCTTTTCAGGAATAAGATGAGAATATTTTCACAGCAGAGCATATTGAGAACGTATTACAGGCTGACTAAAGCCTTTTTAATTATTTTAGTTTTTAACTCAAACCAGCTTTGCATCTGTTAGGGTTACATTCTTCTCTTCCTGAATTTATGATCAGTTCCTACTTTGAAACAGAAAACAACAGAGTTGCTGTAAGATTGCTGTCGGTATATCAGTGCAGTGGTCCAATCCTTAGGCTGGATTCTTATTTAACATTTTAATTGGGTGGATAAAAAGAAATGGGCAGATCATAAGAGAGGAAGAGAAAGAAACAGAGGAAAATTACACAAAAGGATAATAAACTCAGCAGGACAGATCCTTGGCTGGTATAAATGACCAAAGATATATATATATATTTACAGAAACATTCAATTTCTAAACATCCAGGAGCTTTTGAACACAGGGAGTTATACTGCACACAATGGAAGCTGCTTTGCCGTGCAGTTCTCTGCTGGCTTACTCCTGATGCTATAAATAAATTCTTGCACATGGCTCCCAGCTAACTTATAGAGTCTGCAGCTTGGTGCATGTATGAGAGAGGGATGGCCAAGTCTGAAGATGTATAAATGTGTGTGTATATATATATATATATATATATATATATATGTACACACATGTATGTATGTATGTATGTATGTATGTATGTATGTATAAAATATATCTTTGCTATGAAAGTGCATTCACTTAAAATTTAATGACTTGCTAAATCACTGAGCTTTTTGCAGGGAAACAGTGAAAGCTAAGACTTGATTTTGTTTGCATGCAGCATTGGAAGGGTACAAAGCTGATGCCCTTCAATGGGGTCAGCTACAGAGAGATTCTCTCAATATCTAAATTCTGTTTTTTCCAGCAGTCTCTGTTATACACATGCACACACACACACACACAAAAACCGGCTGTGTCACATCCCCACACATCTGAAACCAGGCAAAATGGGCTCCTGGGCTGATGAGCTGAAATAAAGCC